GCGGGTGTGACACCATTCAGAGTTCAGCAACGGCACGGAGCCATAAAATGCGATAGGAAGCTCACCTGCCGCACTCTCTTCCTTGAGCTTCCTACACGGAAAATGCCCACCGTGTGCAGCCCTGCAAGGAGATACCATTATAATCATATAGTAACAGTGATTCATCTCTGTGGCGTTTTCACACACTCCATCACAGTCTCTGTGAGACACACAGACATACACACAGAGTACATTTTGGCATCAGACGGTGGGGTCAGCCAACGCTCAGCACCCACACAGCAACTGGGGGGTAAGGACCTTGCTAAAGGGCCCAAAGGTGACATAATTCTGCCAGCGATGAGATTTGAACCAGCAACCTTCTGATCGTAGAATCCTAACTGACAGAGCCACATATCACCTCCTTGTTTCTCGTCTAACAGAAGAAAATATGTTTTCTCCACTAGTCCATATGCAGTATAAAAAGTTAATAAAAATATCAGAGATTGCCATATGTTGTGGTGGCATATGTTTAACAATGCTATGCTGTGGTTAGGCGCTATCACGGCCCACTGAGAGGCCCGGGCTGCTGCACACTGACCGTGGGTCTCGATGTGCCTGCAGCACAGCTCCAGCAGGTGTGGCACCTGCCGGTAAATGGGGTTGAGGCTGAGCCTGGCCTGGGCGTGGTCTGCGGCCCTCTTGCCGTCCAGCTCGTAGGGGTGCGACAGCTGCAGAGCCTCCAGCAGTCGGGATTGGCTCTCCACCAAGTCTGAGATGGAGTCCACGGAGAGGCCGCCCTGGAGCAGGGAGAGGATGGAGTTTCAGCATGGTTGGGGAAGCAGCAGAGTACCGCCGGCCCGTCCTTGGAGCAGTGGAGTACCGCCAGTGAGCATTAATTAATTTATCCATTAATGGACTGAGCAACAGGTTGTGCAGCTCTGGGGTTTGTATAACAAAGTTGGATTTCTTGCTTAGCTGGATAACTTTTCAGATTTAAGGAACTGTAGTTTCAATGGACTTTATCTTCTTTCACTTACAATTAGACCAGGCAACCTTAAATCCGACAAGTTATTCGGCTAAGCATGACCAGCCTCCGATTTTAAAAAATTTAAAGCTACAGATTTAGTAAAAAAAAAATTTGTGAGTGGGGACAACTAGGATGGTCATGTATTTGCTAGGGGGCCCTCGCCCCCCCTTAGATGCGTGCCTGGTTGGCGCGGTGTATCTGGGCGGGGAGCCTACCCTGCGGTGTGTCCTGCAGCTGTTGTCCTGCTTGGGGAGTGAGGGTGGCTTGCTGCGGGTCCCTGCGGACAGGGGCACGGCGCGAGAGGGAGCCGGGCCACACCAGGCTCTGTCGGAGCCAGGCTGCTTCTGCTTCTCAGCCTGGAAGTGCAGCACGCTGGCCTCCAGCTCCAGAGAGTCTCGCTGGCTCTCCTTCAGCGCGTCCTGCCGCCTCTTGTGAGCCCGGTCGTTGGCTATGACCTGGGCCAGGGGGATCCCGAAGGCCTTGGGGGCCGCCTCTGCAGGGGACATCCCACATACAGGAACAAATTCAATTCAATTCAAATTCAGTTTATGTAATGTACGTAGAGTAATATAATGTCCTGTACCGGAAACAAATTCCACTAGTTTTGGTCAAGTGACAATTAAACAACTGAATAAACTCAACTCATCAATTCAATTCAATTCAATTTTATATAGCGCCTTTCACAACAGAGTTGTCCCAAGGTGCTTTACATGGGTGTGTGTGATACACTCCTGAATCATTTATACAGTATAATTCACAAACAGAAAAGGGAAGACAAATTAAAATTAAATTATAGAAAGAAAAAGCCAGATAATAACAGAGGAGAGAGATTTCCAACATCCACCCTTCCCCTAATAGTGATATTCATGGCATGTACCATTTATATATACAGCTGCATAGTATTTGTATTGTTATGCACCATTTGTATTGTTAAAAACAATCTCTATTGTTTTGCATTGTCTGTGTTGATTTGCATTGCCTGTGTTGTTTTGCATTGTCTGTATTATTATCCACCATCTGTATTGTTTTGCATTGTCTATTTTGTTTGCATTGTCTGTATTGTTATGCACCATCTGTGTTGATTTGCGTTGTCTGTATTGTTTTGCACTTTATACTTTTGTAACTGCGTACACATTCCAATGCACCAATAACTTGAATGTTGATTCTTAGACTTGAACACCATACCACAATCTCCAGAGATGGCAGAATCCATACAACTTCAAAGCCCTGAACATCTCTTAACCGCTTTTAACTCCCTTTTATGTTTGAAGCATTTGACTCATTAGAAAAACCCTTGAAAAGTCTGGGTACCTGAGCTCTTCTGCAGGGTCACACAGTCTAATGTCCATGTGTTAGCATTTAATCCCATGTTACTATTAGATACTTGACTAGGGAAGAGGTCAGGAAGGGAATCCAATTAGGCACCTTCAGGCATGACCTCCTAAGCCTCTTAAAGCACAAACAACGTAAGCCTGTGACCAACAAGGCTGCTGCCCAGCCAGAGGAGGGAACCTCTGTGATTAGAAGCTGAAGTAGCATAGCATGCTCTCTGATTTATCCTACGAACATCATGGGAACAGCAGTGCTCATGCTATAGACGACTAGTCCAGAATCATCAGCCACTGGACCAAAATGATAGGGGGTGTGGAGCCATCAGTCAGGTGCAGGTGAGGGGAGAGGGACTGAATTAGCCTGAATGTGATGGGCTCCCCCACGCACGTGTGACACGTGGCACGTGTGACTGAAATCATTTCAGTTTCCAGGATGAACCAGCCCAATTGAAACAGATTTGGCACAACTGGGACACTCCATCTGTGTGATCACTGTGATTTGGAGCACAAGCGGTTCTAAACTCTATTTGGGGGGGGGAGAGGGGGTGCTGAGCCCCGCAAATGGTCAAATCCTACAATCACTCCAGGTTTGGGGGAACAACCCAGGACAAGGAGCCAACCCACTGAACGGCATGAGCTAGAACTTACTATCAGAAAAGCTATATATATAAAATATCCATATAAAAATATCCTACATTTCTTTCTGTTAAATCGCACCTTCCAGCAGGTTAATTAGTGTAGTGCGGCACTTCCTCTGATGCATTTCCGAGGGTGCAGGTCCATTACAGTACAGGAGTTGGGGTGAATCCACAGAAGTGCATCTTGGACTTACCTCTATCCTTTCTCTCTTTGGAGAAGGAATCAAACCTCCTGCGCAGATATTTTGTCCTCTTGCGAACTGCTGGAGAGAAGAGAATGATATCAGTGCCAGGCATGTCTCTTGAATTTACCTTAGCAACGGCTAATCATGCAGCCAATTCATTATTTTAATTAGTACGATAACATATAGTGGGCATTGGTGGCTTAAAGGTTAGGGAAGCGCACTTATAAGCACTGCTCCCCAGGCGCTGAATTAGCTGCCCTCTGCTACGTCACAATGTCACATAAGGGTTAAATGCAGAGGACACATTTTGTTGTTGTGCACTGTGTGCACAACTGTGTCAACAATGGCCACTGATCACCAAAAATATAGCATAAATCAATATATATGATCCATCCAACCATTTTCTGTACATCTGATGGACCCAGTACAGATCTGCACATACTCCAACACACATTCGAACTCAGAATCACACACATATGTGCCGGGCGGGAGGAAGAAACTCACACGAATATGAAGAAAACATCAAGTAATGCTTTACATTAACAGCACCTTCATAATGCATTCATAAAGCATGTATAGTACATCCACTGCACCTTCATAATGCATTCATAAAGCATGTATAGTACATTCAGTGCACCTTCATAATGCATCCATAAAGCATGTATAGTACATTCAGTGCACCTTCATAATGCATTCATAAAGCATGTATAGTACATCCACTGCACCTTCATAATCCATTTATAGAACATCCATAAGCAACATGTTAGTATAACTTAACATCTTAACATGCCTTAGCAGCTTTAATACACATTAATAACAAACATTATAAGCAGGGATGGATATAAATGGTACGCAAGTACGCATTCACCTTTAAAAACGACACGTGCGACAATCGATTGCGGTAACAGTGTAAATGCGTATTTATTGTATGTGCATTTGTGCTGATATGAAAACAAAATATAATGCATTTTAATCTGTATATGCTAACTCTACTTTATTTGTGGTATACAGGTTTCTTGTCATAGCAGCGCAAATGCACATAAAATAAGTACGCATTTGCGCTGTTACAACAATCGATTGCCGCACGTATCGTTTTTAAAGGTGAATGCGTACTTGCGTACCAGTTATGTCAATCCCTGAATATAATATAATACAATTATAATGTCTGTTAAGGTATGTTAGGATGGTACAGTATACTTACCTGCGGCTTATAAAGGTGCAGTTAATGTAAAGCAGTGTTTCCCAAACTGGTCTTCAGGGACCCCCAAACGGTCCACGTTTTTGCTCCCTCCCAGCTCCCTGTCGGACAGTCTGTGGGTTCCCAAGGCCCAGACTGGGAAACACTGATGTAAAATGTTACCAAACATGATCACTTCAGAGCAGAGGGTTAGGGTCAAACATGCAACCCTAACTGTATGAGGCCCTAGTGCTAATCGCTAAGCTGCTGCTCAGTAAATAACATCATGTTTGAAATGCAAATATTTTAGATTTACTATCATCCACACTAATTGTTTTCACTAGAGTATGAGAATAATTCAGACTGGATGCAATTAACATCTGTTCTTTACATTGTAATCCATAGGGATTCGTTCCTGTGTTTCAAACTGAATCACCACGGCTTTCAGACAAACAATTGAGACCTTTCTTGTGCTCATCCCTCTTAAACATGAGTTACCGCCCATGACCTAACAAACTGTTTGCTTCTGTTTTAACCCCTGTGGACTTCAAAAAGGGCTTTTCATATTCCATAAGGATTCTTCTCTGCTGTCTATCCAAAGTTCTGCTACGTTCACACTGGTGTTTCTAAAAACACCCAAAGATCCATATGGAAGAGCTGGGCCAGGTCAAATTCTCACGACAGCAGGAAATGAAAAGCTAGTTTCCATGAGCAGCACAGTAGCTAGCGTTACACGTCAGCTAACCTGCCAGCGTAGCTTAGCATATGGGCTGGTGACTAAGGGGAAGGAGGAACAGCTGCTACTTTAAGGCACTGTTTCCCAACCCCATATGGTCCAAGTTTTTGCTCCCTCCCAGCTCCCTGAGGACCGATTTGAGAAACACTGCTGTAATGAATTATGACGTCCTGAGGGAAAACGTAAAGGAAAACTTAGCAACAGAGAATAAATCAACATGCCAGCGAGCTTGCCATAGGCTTATGGGAGTTTTACTTACATAAAAACCTTCTGAGGGCTGAACAGAATGACTGATTCAGAGATAAAAATCAATTTGTAGAGGAGGTGGGTCCAAGTAACTAGAGTTTGTCAATTGTGAGTTTGACCTCGAAAGGAGACCCACAGAGAGCACTGCAGGCTTGTGGGAGTTTTACTTGCACAAAAATGTTCTGAGGGCAGAATGAAAAATTATTAGTTCTGAGAGATAACCAATCAGATTGTAGAGGATGCAGGACCAACCAATCAGATTTATTGGTCCCACTTCCTCTTCAATCTGAATGGTTATCTCTCAGAACCAATCATTTTTCATTTTGCCCTCAGAACATTTTTGTGCAAGTAACTCCCACGAGCCTGCAGCGCTCTCTGTGGGTTTCCTTCTGAGGATGAACTCAAAATGAAAATAAAAATCTCAAGAAAGGAACATTGCTCTAAAAGTGGTAAGGATGTGAAGGCAGAATGACCGTCATGGTCTATTATTCTGATTCATGCATCAGATGTTGCTGTTAATGTAAATATCCCCATGCAGTGAAGTGGACCCATCCATTACACATTTGAAGCCCAGTTAGATCTCGTCTCTTTTTGTCCCAGTAAGCTGTGCTGATGGATCCTTCATTTAGGGCAGGCAGAGGCAACCCTGATCCTGGAGTACTAGTATCCAACAGGTTTTCCTAGCTGGATTCTCATGGACCATCTCAGCCAGATAGTAACTCACCAGGTAGGATGGAAAACCTGCTAGATACCAGCACTCCAGGAGCAGGTTGCCTACCCCTGGATTAGGGGGACATGAAGCAGTCTTTAAATTTTCACAGACGTGAAGCTTTTAATACCAGGCTGATCATGCAGTAAAGTCATTATGATGTAAATTATTATTTATGGTGCATTCAATTTTCAGCCCAACTCGACATCAATACCTTTCAAACCTGGAGATTTTTTTTATGAAAGATGTGTATATGATGGAGGAGAGTATTGATGAAGGGATGTGTGGGATGTGTAAAAATAGAAGAACAGTGATGATGAATGAGAAGGAGACACAGTCAGACCTGCTGTCCTGCAACTTTA